TTATTACAAGTCAAGTCACCTTTATTTATATAGCGCTTTTAACAATACAGATTGTGTCAAAGCAACTGAACAGCATTAATTAGGAAAATAGTGTGTCAATAATGCAAAATGACAATAGTAAACACTCATTTTTCAGTTAAAGGCAGTTCATCATTGAATTCAGTGATGTCATCATCCAGCTCAGTTCAGTTTAAATAGTATCTTTGCAATCATTCGCAATCAAGTCAACGATATCGCCGGATATGAAGTGTTACAAAAAACACATTGATTCCCCTGGAGCCGTGTGAAGCACTTTTTATTACGGATTGATGAGCTTTATTGGACTTCTTTTGGACTGTTGAACCCGCCTACTGCCATTATACATCTAGTGATGGGCAGAGCGAGGCTTCATAAATCACTGAAAATCCCTGCGTTCCATTCGGAAGGGCTCATCCCTACGCCCTAATCCTTTCAAAGGGTTTACCCTCCGGAGTGAGAGCTTCGAAGGGATGAAGCTGTATAGGGGTCAAAAAACTCTTTAACGAGACGATCAAGGAGGCACCTTCGTTGTACATTTTGTACGCTGGTTGACCCCCAATCGTCTTTTACATTAAATATAATGTATATTTGTATATGTAATGTAATGTAATGTCATGTAATATGTATTTGTAATCAGGGATTGAAATGAACTTTTTCACTCACCAGCCAATTTGGCTACTAAATTTTTAAGTTACCGGCCATTCATAACTTCTACTAGCCAAATAAACCAACAGTTTGAGTCTGTCTACACTGCGCATGACAAAGCGACCGTTGCAAATCATATTGTGTCAGTACTAGGGTTGTGCCCTATTGACAAAAAATAATATCTCAATATTTTCTATGATTTTATCGATAAAGATAATTAGACGATATTTTGCTGTGTGTTATTGTGCTGATATCTTAAGGACTACCGTGGACAGCTGACTCCTAAAGTTTTTGATATTCTTCATATTCTGTGTGGTCAGTACACAGCAGTGATAGAAATTAATCTTTTCCAATAAGTTTAAATGTATTTTTACCTTTTATGGGCATTTTTACCTTTATAAAGCCATTTTTTTCTAAAAGTGTACATCATCTTTTGAGTCAAATTCTTACATTTAATCAGTCAATTATAATAATAATACATTTAGGGTCATTGCGATTGAACCAAATCATTTAAACGGTTGATTCATTCAGTTACGAAACAACGTCATGTTGCTCAGAGACGCAAAACAGTACTGTGGCTGTGTTTGGAATGTTTTTTGTTGGTGAAATAGCGCCGAAATAGCACAAAAACAGCCAATATGCTGTCTAAAACGTAAGTCTCTTGATATTAACTTATTGTTTATCGAACTGTTGTATAAAATCAATATCACATTTGTAACCATGCTGATATTTTTTAAGAAAAAAACGACACTCTTCGTGTGATAATGATTAACTATATGAATTGATATAAATTTATAAATTTTCTGCCCCCTTATCTTGAATTATGTGATCATTCTTAATGCATATTAATATTCTGAATAATGCAGTGAAAGAACGCACTCTAAATGCGCACGCGCACTAAAGCCTGTGTTGGTCTAACCAGACTTCATCACGTCACGTA